CCACCACATGGGCATAGGACACAGTGATGAGGACCAAGGGGGCCACACCCATGAAGGCTGCTGCCACAAAGAGTAACTTCTCATTGAGTTGGGTGCTGGAGCAGGAGAGCTGGAAGAGCTGTGGGAGGTCACAGTAGAAGTGATTGATCACATTGGGGCCACAGAAGTTAAGAGTAGACAAAGCAACAGTTTGAGTCAATGCATTGGAGAAGGAAAAGACACATGACATGGCCACCATGGCCCGTTGGACCCCCCAGCCCATGCGGGTGCTGTAAGTAAGGGGCTGGCAGATGGCCAGATAGCGGTCATATGCCATGACAGTGAGGAGGAAGCAGTCCACCCCAGCCAGGAGGTGGAAGAAAAAGAGCTGTGAGAGGCAGGATCCATAGGGAATGCTCCTATCATGGGACATGAGATGTCTCAGCATGGCAGGGACAGTGACAGTGATGCATCCAATATCCAGCAGGGACAGGTTACCCAGGAAGAAGTACATAGGGGTATGGAGTTTGGGCTCAGTGAGAATGGCAGCCAGGATGCTGAAATTGCCACCAATAGTAGCTACATAAGCAAGAAGGAAGATGACAAAGAGGATGGACTGTAGAACTGGGGTCTCTGTCAGGCCCAGCAGGACAAAATCAGTCACAACTGAACAGTTTCCTGAGGCTCCTAGATCCATGGGTTTCTTCTACCAGCAGCAGAATGAGCAAAGGTGTCAATGGAGGTAAAAGGAGAATGAGAGAATGAGCTCTTGATAACCTCCCAGTGGCAATATCCAGAAAAAGAGAGGGCTGTAAGAACACATATAATTTAAGGGAAATAGTTAGAGATTGAGACATAATAGGAAGATACTTGAAAAATATGACTTGTAATGAGTAAGGAGAACAGTGACATTGAACAGACTCAAACAGAGAGAGATGAATTAACATAAAAAGGGAACACCTGTAACATGTAAATGTTAAAGGGAAAGATTATTTTCCTGAAGCCAAAGTTCCAAGAAAGAAACCCCAAGCCTGTAGATGGTGGCATGACCATAATTTGGGCACAAGACCCCAGAGGCTGAAATGGAGGCTTCAAGGGAAGAGGATAAAAGGCATATTCCCTTTCCATTAGCAGGTGTATATCCTAAATAAGTGAGAGCCGGGACAGGAATAGATACACGTACACCCATGTTCATCACAGCACTATTCACAATAGGATAGAGATGGAAGCAACTGAAGTGTCTGTCAGTGGAGGAATGGATAACCAAACTATGGTACATACACACAGTGGAATACTATGCAACACTGAAAAATGATATAGAATCCATGAAACACCACATAACATGAATGAACTTGGAGGACATTATACTGAGTGAAATAAGTCAATTACAGAAGGACAAATATTGTATGAGCCCACTATTGT